GTCTCATTCCACGTTTTATGCTCACACGGACACTGACTGTGGATCCAATTTGCAGAGGGATATCCTAGAGCCAGGCAGCCACACAGTCACTTTCTATACCCCCCTTGAGAGCGCCCCCCCCTTCCAGCTTCCACCAGGCTTCTGCTCTGTGGGAACCAGAAGAACACATAAGATTCTCTAGTGTAGGATGTGCAGCTGTAAAAATCATTGGTGAGTCCAGTTGGTGTAACTCTGTCCTTGGGAAAGAGCCTTGAGGGAGCTGGCATGGAACCCCAGTCCAGGTAACAACTGGACTTTTACCAAGGCCCAGCATGGAGAACCCCAATACACAAAGGAGTGTCGAAAAGTAAAGGAGAAGGAAGGAGGGTTAGGCTGTGAATTTAGCCAAGGTATCATCCCATCTATTAGAGATAACCTTGGGCTTGTTACCTAATCTAAGTCTTATTTTCCATCGGCTGTCAAATGGGGATAATGAATACCTAGCTCAAGAGTTTATTATCATGATTAAATAAGACAATGTTGGTAAAACACCTTGCAGATTACGCAGGACTTAGCAGGAACTCAAAAATGATCAGTTGCTACCTCCCTGCCACAACTGCTGTTTCTCATATAGTGCTGTGTTGGGAACTGGCTCCCACTGGAACTAAGTCCTGGGTAATCTGCAAGGTATTTTTTGTGTGAAGTTTCCTATGGTGGTAGTATTTACACCATGGAAAACAGGCAAATGCGGAGAGTCAGAGCTTCCTTAATACTTCCCCTCCCTGCTGAAATCACATTTTTAAACACTAATCATTAAACCAGTAGGTATTGTTCAGTTAATTTATCTTTGGGCCTCAGTTTCCTCATCTTTAAGTGGGGGGCAAAAAACAAATTCTACCAATGTCACAGGAGTTTTGTGTCAACATAATAAAAAATGGAAAATGATTGAGAGTAGTAATGATTGACGGTAATGTTAGTTAGAGAAGGGGCCAATGGTACGTCTCCACGGAAAGGTCTCTCAAGTCTCAGTTTTTCCTGGGGACATAGAAAACCACAAAGGTGAACAACTCCTATAGAATAAGGTTGGCATACTTACCTTCTAGCCAAATACACTCAATAAGCTTATGTGCACTAGGCCCTATGCTAGATGCCAAAGATATACCAGTGGAGAAGATAGAGTCTTTGCCTCCAAGGGGCTTACAGTCTAAGGGAGACAGGCTAGCAAACCAGAATAATCATCCTAAGAGACAAGTGTTACGCCAGGGGTGAGCACAGGTTGCTCTAAAATTGTGCTGTTTAATAGAGTAGCCACTGGCCACATATGCTCATTGAATACTTGTAATGTGGCTAGATCAAATTGACATGTGCCATAAACGTAAAACAGCAAATTTTAAAGACTTAGCATAAATAAAAACTAACTAGGCTATCTCATCAATGATTTTATTATATTCATCATTGATTGAAATGTCAATATTTTGGATACATTGGGTTCCATAAAATATATCATTCAAATCAATTTTACTGGTTTCTTTTTACTTTTTAAGTTCAGCTGCTAGAAAATTTAACATTCCATATGTTGCACACATTATATTTCTATTGGCCATTTGTGTGTCTTCTTTGAAAAAATGTCTATTCAAATCTTTGCCCATTTTTAAATTGGGTTGTTTGTCTTTCTGTTGTAAAGTTGTAAGTGTTCTTTATTATTCTGGATACAAGAACCTTATCAGATAAATGATTTGAAAAAGTTTTCCCCCAATCTGTGGGTTGTCTTTTCACTTTCTTAACAGTGTCTTTTTCAAGATTGTTTTGGCTATTTGGGGTCCCTTTAATTTCTATATAAATTTTGGGATTAGCTCATCCATTTCTGCAGAAAAGGTAGTTGGAATTTTGATTAGCATTTACTCCCACATGGGAATACCATTTATTTATTTATTCCCAATATTCCCACATATTGCCACCTTGACAATATCACGTCTTCCACTCTATGAACATATATTAAGCCTTCTCTAATTTCTTTTTGAAATATTGTGTAATTTTCAGTGTACATGAAACTTGGTTAAATCTTCTCCTAAATACTTTATTTCATTTTATTTTTATGCTGTTATGCATTGTCACACTGGGATTATAGTGATTTTATCAGATCGGGACTTGCTTCAACTATCCATTTCCCTGATCAATCTTCCTCTGTTAGAATCACACCCAGCTTCTAGGCCCCACTAATTGCTGGCTGATTACTCTTTTGGATAATGTCCTGGATGTTACCTCGTTCCATGATTCAATTAAATTTGGGCCTTTTGCAGAGATAGTTTTTGAGGCAAGTCTTTGAGATTTATTCTGGCCCCTGGGGGGCTCTCCTTAGCTGTCTCTTTCCCAGGTTCTTTTTGGTAAACTGGCTGGCCTATGGTTTGACTCAGTACTCTCATAGAGCTACCAGTCTCCTCTTAATTGTTTACAACAAAAACCTTCATTGTTTCTGAGAGCAACCTTACGTTTGAACTTCACCATATTTTGTTTCAAATAAAAGCCCATTCCTTTAGCAAGAGCTTTGGAATTTTCTGTTCTTACACAAGGAACAGAAAGGGAGTGGCTCTCCCTCTGAACAAAATCTCTGAGCCCCTGTGTTGGGGATGGAGAAGGAAACAGGGGCACACTTCTCTTGGAGTGAAGTCCCCACTTAACAAGTAGGGCAATGTGGGGGGGGCGGTGAGAGTCTCTGATCTTTTCTCTGCTTAACCATTCAAGCATGGAATCTCTGCTCCATGAGTAACCTAGGGCAAAAGTGATCAGTGGCCTATTGTTTTCAACCTGCCACCTGTGGGGCCAAGCCTGTGCCCCCAAAGGTGTGAACTGTGTAGAGGAAAGGAGTTCCTATCTTTTGGCCACACTTACCAAGAGTTTAGCCTCAGCAACTTGGAGCTGGAGGGGTTGAGAACTGCTGGTGACCTGCGTGTCTTGGTGATTTACTGTATTACTTGATTGGGAGCGAGAGGAGAGGGATCTTGCTTTCTTGGCCAGCCACCCAGATTGGAGCTTTGCACTGAGCCATGGATGAAGGAGGAAAGGAGTGGTGGTGGTTCAGTTGCTAGACTCTTGGTGTTCTTAATGAGATTTAGTACATTTTTCTTGAATAAATGTTTCTTTGTTTGCTGTATGCCCTTTTCAATTTTCAGAGACTTTAAATGGTTGTTTTTATATAATTTTCACCAATTACGATGTTTCCTGGGGAGTGGGTCCCTAGAGCTCCTCATGCTGGCATTCTGGAAATGAAAGGAGTAGTGATTTTTTTGGATGAAACTGTAAAACCATAATGGGGAAATTTTGTTGACTTTGTATTGTATTAAAGTGAAAGGAATTTGTTCAGCAATGAGTGGTATATAATTTTTTTTTTTTTTTTTGAGACAGAGTCTCACTCTGACGCCCGAGCTAGAGTGCCGTGGTGTCAGCCTAGCTCACAGTAACCTCAAACTCCTGGGCTCAAGCGATCCTCCTGCCTCAGCCTCCTGAGTAGCTGGGACTACAGGCATGTGCCACCATGCCTGGCTAATTTTTTTCTATATATGTTTTTTAGTTGTCTAGGTAGTTTCTTTCTATTTTTAGTAGAGACAGGGTCTTGCTCTTGCTCAGGCTGGTCTCGAACCCCTGAGCTCAAAGGATCCACCTGCCTCGGCCTCCCAGAGTGCTGGGATTACAGGCATGAGCCACAGCGCCCGGCCTGGTATATAAAAATATAACTAGTGAATACCAGGTGGCAGACCTGGTGGCAGAGATAAAATATTTGCAAATAATATTGATAATAAAAGATTACATATCTTTTATCTAGATGGGTTAATGAATACCCATTTAGAATGCATAGGAATTTCTGTAAATCTCTAAGAAAATTGTGAGCAACCTAATAGAAAAATGGACAATGGATGTGAATAAGTAATTCACAGAAGGTGGAAATCTTTGTAGCTAATAAATTCATGAAGAGAGGCTTAGATTCATTTGTAGCCATTTAAAATGTAATTGAAATAAGATTCCATTATTCTCTCAATAACAGGCAAAAAATAAATTATATGCTATCAAACGCTGATGAAAACTGGGGAAGCAGAAAACGTTAAGCACTGCTAGTGAGAATATAAGTTTTTGGAGAGCAATTTGGTGGTTTTTAGTAAAATTAAGTAGGCTTATAGCCTATAACTCAGGAAATCCCATGCTTCCAAAATGTTTTACAAACAGACAAGTGGAAGCTGATCCCAGCAGCATTGTTACCAACATTTGTCAGAGCAAAGATTTGGAACCAACCCACATGTTCATCAATAGGGAATGGAAAAACATAATGTGGTATGTGCATATTGCCAAATACACTGTATCAGTCAAAAAGAAGGAACTAGATCTACATGTATCAATAAGGATAGTTCGCAAATGTAATATTGAGTAGGAAAAGTAAAAAACGAGAATGAAATTCTTAACACGATGCAATTTATGTAAAACATAAAATAATGCTTTATGTTGTTCATTGTTACACAAATTTATGAAAAAGAAAAGTATGGATGATGGAATTACATGCATTAAATATGTAAGTTTAGGTGTGTATGGGTGGAGAGGAGATGGCAAATGGCATTGGGTATGGAGGTGAATATAAAAAATGCATAAAATTAAATTTCCAAGGGACAATGAAAGGTAGTGATGTCAATAATGAGCCACAAACTATGGAGTATGACTCATCCTATCAATCTGGTTCTATGTGCTAGAGTCCCACAATATTAATGATGATGATTAAATGAAATAACATATTTATAAGTGACTAGCAGTGCAACCAGCCATTGCTAATTCTCCTTACCTTACAGGGTAGCACCAGAATGAGGGAGATAAACATTCAAGACAGACTTTGAAAATTCCCACAAAAATTATAGTTTGAATTACTTTTGTAAAAATGAAGCATGAATTACTATCATAAAAATTACTATTTATTTTCTTAAACTGGCCAGTGGCTCAGTGGCTTAAAAAGAAAGTATTTTCAAGAAGGTTCATGTGAATTATATAGAGAAAATGAAAATAAAAAATCCTGGACAAAATCTGTAAATTCCGAAATATTTTCCAAATGGTGCCATCTGCTCATAAAATCATAGAGAGGCTGTTGGAAATTTCCAGCACTGGGTTGGATTTTGTCCACAATAGCTGCCTAGGCAGGATCCTGCAGCACCGGATCAGCAGGAGAGTTTCCAAGGGAAGAGGGTCACTAGGATGCTTTCACCCTCCTTGCCATCCTGAAAGTCAAGAAGATGAAATGCAGATTTATCCTTATAACCATCACTTCAAACCATACTTCCCTCTACTGAACTAAAACCTGGAATGACCCCATGTTATTATCACCACCTACCCCATTCATAACCATTCTACAAATCTCTTCTCAAGTCAGAAAGAAAGAGAGCGAGAGAAAGAGATAGATGGATGAGCTAGAACACAAATCTACCCTGTTTCCCTGAAAATAAGGCCTACCCATAAAATAAGCTCTAGCAGGATTTCTAAGCATGTGTGCAATATAAGCCCTACCCCGAAAATAAGACCTAGTGATGGGCATGGTGTATGCACCATGCACAACCCATGCGTTTCATTGCAGAGTGGTATAAAGAACACGAGCAGCCCTTCTCATCTGCCCCATGAGAGCTCTATTGCTCGACATGAGAGATTGAGGCCAATGATCCTAAAGGAAATTAGAGTCTCAGGAAATTCAGGATGGAATTCGGGGTTTGGAGAGTTATGATGATGTTCCAGAGGAAGACAACTTAACTATATTTGAATAAATGTAGATTGTTGTACTGTACTTAAAAAAAAATAACACATCCCCTGAAAATGAGCCCTACAGTGTCTTCTTGAGGAAAAATAAGTATAAGACCCTGTCTTATTTTTGGGGAAACACGGTAGACTCAACTTCTTATTAGCTACATGGTTTTAAGTCTCACTGTGGTGCAATTTCCTGAGCAAAATGAGGAGAATAGGCCGGGCGCGGTGGCTCACGCCTGTAATCCCAGCACTCTGGGAGGCCGAGGCGGGCGGATTGCTCGAGGTCAGGAGTTCGAAACCACCCTGAGCAAGAGTGAGACCCCGTCTCTACTATAAATAGAAAAAAATTAATTGGCCATCTGATATATATAGAAAAAATTAGCCAGGCATGGTGGCACATGCCTGTAGTCCCAGCTACTGGGGAGGCTGAGGCAGGAGGATTGCTTGAGCTCAGGAGTTTGAGGTTGCTGTGAGCTAGGCTGACGCCACGGCACTCACTCTAGCCTGGGCAACAAAGTGAGACTCTGTCTCAAAAACATTAAAAAAAAAATGAGGAGAATAACATCTAACTTTTAAGTTGTGAGAATTTAAACATTAGAGCAGGCACTTAAATCAGTATTTTTTTTTTTTTTTTGGACAGAGTCTCATTTTTGTTGCCCTGGCTAGAGTGAGTGCCGTGGCGTCAGCCTAGCTCACAGCAACCTCAAACTCCTGGGCTCAAGCGATCCTCCTGCCTCAGCCTTCCCGAGTAGCTGGGACTACAGGCATGCACCACCATGCCCAGCTAATTTTTTGTATATATATTTTTAGTTGGTCAATTAATTTCTTTCTATTTTTAGTAGAGACGGGGTCTCACTCAGGATGGTTTCGAACTCCCAACCTCGAGCAATCCGCCCACCTCGGCCTCCCAGAGTGCTAGGATTACAGGCGTGAGCCACCGCGCCCGGCCTTAAATCAGTATTTATACATTATTTTCTCCTTCATGTTCCTTTTAGTGTGATACAAATTTCTACAAAGCTCTCATAGTCTTCAAAGGAAATTAATGCAATAATATTTTGGCTCTTCTATAGAGGCTATTGTTTTTCACCTTTAAACCAATCCAGTTACATTTCAATTTATATAGTTAATACCTGCTGAGCAGCAGCTATGAACAAAGCACTAGGGCAAACCTTTAAGAACAGCCATTCTCACCAGTAGGAAAACATAAGAGACATGGGGAGCTTTTCTTTTCCTTTTTTCTCTTTGATAGCTTTGTTGAGGTTTAATTCCCATACCATAAAATGTACCCATTTTAAAGCTACAATTCAATGACTATTAGTAAATTTACAGAACTGTGCATTGTCACAGTCCAATTTCAGCACATTTCCATCACTTCAGGAGATTTAAAAAATGTTTTAAATGTCCAGGCCTCACCCCGGAATAATTAAGTCAGACATTTTGAAAGTGACTCAGGCAACTTCCCAGTGGTTGTGAATGCAGAACGTATTGAGAAGGACTACTGCAGAGGGGACAAACGTGAGTGGCACCTAGTTCCTGCCCTTAGGGGATTTGTTGTGCATAAACAGGGTTTCTCAACCTTGGTGCCATTCACATTTGCGGTTGGATAATTATTATTCCTGTGCATTGCAGGATGTTCAGCAGCATCTTTGGTCTCTACCCATAAGATGCTGGTAACATCTCCCCCACTTCCCTAAATTGTCACAAGCAAAACTATCCTCTAGACATTGCCAAATGTTCTGGAGAGGAGTGGGGATTGCCCCTAGTTGAGAACCACTGGTTTGCAGAGGTGATAAGACATGATTACAAATAAGTTAAAAACTTCACAGAAAAATATTAATCCCATGAGAGATGCAAAAACAAGGCTATAGCAATGTAAAGAAGAAGAAGAAAAGGAGAAGATCTTGTGTATGTTTCACTGTGGTACAGTGGCAAGAGATTGGTCTTTGAAGCAACATTAAGGTTTAGACTGATATCCTGGTTCTGCCGTTGGCTAGTTTTATGATCTTGGGCAAGGTAGCCACATTTTATGAGCCTGTTTAGTGCTATCTGCAAAATGAAGATACTGATATCTAGCTTGCTGTACCCTTGGCATGAGGAGTAGATGTAGCCAAATATTAGCACGCAGTAGCCACTGGATATACCCTTACCTTGACTGGGCATTTACTCTGTGTCAGGTATTATTGTAAATGCATCACATAATATCTCATTTCATCCTCACGAGAATTCTATCAAACTGCTATAATTATCATCCCCATTTTACAGATGAGGAAACTGAGACTTAGAGATGTTAAATAACTTACCCATGTCGTAGAGTTTGCTAAAGACAGAGATTCATGAGGCAGATTTGCCTGACCTGGAAGCTGATATATTTGAGAACAAATGCTCTATGGCAGTGCTTTTTAAACTTGCTCATCATAAGGACCACCTGGTATATTGTCAAAAATGCACACCTCAGGATCCAGAAATTCTGGGATACAATCACAAATCTGTATTTTCTACAAACACCAAGATGATTTCTATGATCAGTCAAGTTTGGAGATGATTATTATGGTACTTCTCATAAATACTGAATAAATATTAAACAAAAAATAAGCTAGCTAAAAATTTTGGTTTGGAAGATTAGGGAAACGTGTAGGACTTTGACAGAAATAGCAAGAAAGACAGCATTGCTGAAGGAGGGAATAGCACAAACAAAGGTAAGAAGCTTAAATGTATGGGGCATGCTTGGGTATCGCAGTAACAAGAGCTAATGTTGACTTTGCACTTGCTGGGGCCAGGCACTGTCCTTAGTGTGTTACAAATGTCATCTTATTTAATCTTCACAAACAACTCTATGAAGTGGGTACTATTATTTTCTCATTTAAGGATGAAGAAACCAAAGTGCAAAGAAATGAAGTAACGTGCATAAGATCACATGGCAGCCAGAGGTCAAGCCAGTCTCAGGCTTCCAGAGCCTGCCTTTCCTAACCCACGTGCCACGTGGCAAGGGGAAACCGTGGAGAACACTGTGGAGAGGCATATTGGACCCAACTTGCAATATTAGCTGTCTACTCGGTTAGGGCACTTTCTATGGGCCAACTGCTCTGCATGCATTGCATCCAACCCTCATAACAAGTACCTGAAGCTCAGGGAGTGTGTGGAACTCGTCCAACATAGCTCCTTGGCCACAGGAATTAGATTGAGACTTTAGGTTGTCCTTATTGTGCAAATCCTTATCTTCCCCCCACTACTTTACACTTGTCTTACTTTAACTTCCAGGAAGCTTTCAATACTGTAGCTTCGCAATTACTTTAAAAATATTTATTTCATGTCCATCATTCATCAAACAGATAGTGTAGAGTGTGTGTTTCAGGCCAGAGCCACAGAGCTGCAGAAAACCAAGGCCTGGTGGTGTCCTGGTGGGAGTCACAATCCTGTGTGGAAAACAGACACATGCACAATTAATTCTAACAGTAGGAGAGTATACAAAGCACTGTGTCTGGAGAAAAAGGAGGACTCCATCTACCCGAGGGAGCAGAAAATTAGAGATGGTGTTTGAGTAGAGACTTTAAGAATAAGCCAAGAGACACGCTGGGGGCAGAGCACATTTTTAATTCTTCAGACAGTGCCGCACAGATGAGTGCAAAATCAAACCAGCATTTAAAGGTTACTTAAGGCCGGGCGCGGTGGCTCACGCCTGTAATCCTAGCACTCTGGGAGGCCGAGGCGGGTGGATCCTTTGGACTCAGGAGTTCGAGACCAGCCTGAGCAAGAGGGAGACCCTTGTCTCTACCAAAAACAGAAACAAGTTAATTGGACAGCTAAAAATACACAGAAAAAAAATTAGCAGGGCATGGTGGTGCATGACTGTAGTCCCAGCTCCTTGGGAGGCTGAGACTGAAGGATCGCTTGAGCCCAGGCGTTTGAAGTTGCTGTGAGCTAGGCTGACGCCATGGTACTCTAGCCTGGGCAACAGAGTGAGACTCTGTCTCAGATAAAAATAAATAAATGAATAAAGGTTAGTTAATAATATGGTGGAAAACTGATTGAGAGAAGGTAAATTATTGTACTAATCAGGAAGCTATTCTGGTGGATTGGGAATAAGGTGGGGGAGACTCTGGGATCCTAAATTAGGGCTGTGAGAGTGGAGAAGAGAAGGTAGGGAGTGATGGTGGGAAATGTTGTGCATGGTGAGCATGAGGTTATAGAATACCCCTTCTATGTGTTCTATACTGGGCAGGAGGGAAAGGGTGAGTTTGAATCTTTGTAATTTATCAAATGATCCAGTGGGTTAACCGCTTGTGTATAACACTTTCCTTCCCCTCGCCTACACACATACAGTTCCTTCATTTAGGGGTCTTTTAGGGTTAGAAAGTTGCCCTTTGGCAATGCAAGTGCTTCTGGGAGAGCGTCTCACGTCTGAGAGGTAATGAATGAGAGATCAAGACAAATTTTCCCCAATTTTAATTTTGCCTCTGCTGACAGCGTGTGAGTGAAAATTCTAATTTTGAGCAGCTCTTATTATTAGAAGTATACTGTTTTCATTTCCATGTTTGCATTAAGTAATCAAGACTCAGTTCTGAAAATAGGCACAAGTATTTACATCTTTCCTTTTCTTCTATCCTCATTTTCTCCCTTCCCTGTTTTTCTCAACAAATTTTTTTCAGAGGCTTCTATGAGTTAGACATCAGCTGAGCCTTCTCTGGCTCTGAGCATCTATCTAATCATGATTGTTCCTTGCCCTGTTGGAGTGCAAAGCCCGCCCTAAGATGACTGTATTCTCAGCAAGCTTCCAGTGTGTTCCGATCCAAACTCCTGCTCTTCCTGAGTTTGTAGGTTGGTTGGTGGTCACCGGGCAAAACTCTGCATGCCGTCCCTTCCTCCTGCTTAATGGGGAGTTCAACCCCCTTTTCTCTCCAAGCATGTGATGTGAGACTCGCTGAAGACCAAGGGAGGCAGAGGAGGGCTTACAATACAGGAACACAAATATCTTCAAATCTAAAAATGTCGCTCAGCCTTGTCACTTACAGCGACTTTCCACTGTCACATTCTCTCACCCGGGACAGACCCCCAGTCTTGCCACCTTTCTCCCCTCCTCCTTGTGTCCCTCCTCCTGCCTTAAATTCTCCTCTTTGCTTTCTGGGAAGATATCCAGTGCCCAGCAGCCTATACTCTGAGATCCATTGGATATTAAAATGAATCCAGAGTTCATTTGTTTAACAGAATTTAGCTTTCTCAGATGGAAGTTTGTGGTTGCAAATAGCTGGTCTCCTTCTCCCCTCTCCTTTAGCATTCTCTGCTTGTACTACTACATGATATTTTCTTTAGGAGATTTTAGACTCTTGGGAATAAGGCCTAATAAAGATACGTGCAAAGTGCTGAAAGGACATTGGGAAAGGAGAGACTTGTATCCAAATCGACTTGTGGGATTAAGGGAAAGTTCTTTCTTTCATCCACCCGTCCATTGACAAAGATTCTCTCCTTGACCAAAATCTACTCAGACTCCCCTGAACTCTTTCCTCAATTGCACCCTGACTTCTGGGCTTCTGTGTTCATCTCTGCATTTTCCAGTTTTAGCAAGAATCCAGCTAAGTCATTTTAACCAGAACTCTTCACCCTAAGTATCTGATCTCCCTCAATATCTAATCAGGTTCCTCATCTCCACCATCTTCCAAAGGTGACGTCTGATCACGCTGGCCTGCCTTCAGCATGAATCCTGCTAGGTTGCTTTAGCCAGAATTTGAGGTTTCCTTTTAATAATTCTCTGTGCACTGATCTCCACTCTGCTCCTTGGCTAGAAATTCTCATTTTTCCTTGTCATATTTGGAGTTGAGCCCAATTTCTCTGCCACACTGCAAGATCCTATTGTCATAGCTCCGCTGTATACTTACCACGATAGTCCCACTCGAATGAAGTTCGCCTTATCGGTCTTTCACAAGCGTCAGCATGAGTAATTTCTTCCTTCAACAACATCCATCCATCCAGCTAAAAACATTGATCGAGAGAGCTGGCCAAGTGGCGGCTCCTGCTTTAGCCACTGGGTATGGCATCAAGAACAGGGCAACAAAGGCCCTGCCCTGTCAGGGTTTGGATTCTAGTTGAGGGAATATTAATTTTTTTTTTTTTTTTTGAGACAGAGTCTCGCTTTGTTGCCCAGGCTAGAGTGAGTGCTGTGGCGTCAGCCTAGCTCACAGCAACCTAGCTCACAGCTCACCTCAAACTCCTGGGCTCAAGCAATCCTCCTGCCTCAGCCTCCCACGTAGCTGGGACTACAGGCATGCGCCACCATGCCCGGCTAATTTTTTTCTATATATTAGTTGGCCAATTAATTTCTTTCTATTTATAGTAGAGACGGGGTCTCCCTCTTGCTCAGGCTGGTTTCGAACTCCGACCTGCGAGCGATCGCCCGCCTCAGCCTCCCAGAGTGCTGGGATTACAGGCGTGAGCCACTGCGCCTGGCTGAATATGAATTTTGATTCCTGTCTTGAAGGAAGAACAGGAGCTCACTGTGCAGATCAGGGAGTCAAGACTCTCCCAGAAGAGGAGGAGAGGATACACAAAAGCACCAAGGCAAAAAAATTGCATGAATATAGTAGCTAAACTGCCATGAAATTAGTGTGTTGGCTCAAGCGATGTGCATGGAAGGCAAGAATGGGATGAGGGCCGGGCCAGCCACGCACACAGCTGGGAGTCTGGTGCTATCCTGTGGCCAGGGGAAGGTCTGTAATTCATGCAATGTCCCTGCCTTCCTTTTTCCTGCTGCTGTGGCCTGTCCTTCTTCTATGCCAGTCAGCATGTGTGCTTGTCATTTCCACGAAATGCATCAGTGGAGACGGGAGCATTAATTTATTTGAGCAGACATGTGTCAACATCATCTGGAGAAAAGGCACCAGACCCACTGCAGACTCTCAATGTGATTAGCAGACCTCGGCCCCTCCCAGTTCAGTCCTGCCTGCTTCAGCCCACTCTGCTTCTCAGCTTGTCTCTTGGCTGACTCCTACTTCCCCATCTCCCTAATACTTATCCCTCTTCACCCACCCCACACACAGACACACACACACACACACACACACACACACACACACACACACACACACACACAGGCTTTGCCTTTCTTCTAGTCTCTCTCCTGTTGTCTTTTGTTTTTCTGAGACAGAGTCTCACTCTGTTTGTTGCATGGCTAGAGTGCCGTGGCGTCAGTCTAGCTCACAGAACCTCAAACTCCTGGGCTCAAGCAAATCCTTCTGCTCTCAGCCTCGAGTAGCTGGAACTATAGCGATGCGCCACCATGCCCGGCTAATTTTCTCTATATATTTTTAGTTGGACAATTAATTTATTTCTATTTTTTTTTTAATAAAGACGGTCTCGCGTTGTTGCTCAGGCTGGTTTGAACTCCTGACCTTGAGCGATCCTCCCGCTTGGCCTCCCAAAGTGTAGTAGATTACAGGCGTGAGCCACACCTGGCCTCTCTGTTGTCCTGAGACTTGTCGTGGCAAGTTACGATACCCACTGGACTTCTTAACAAGGAAGGGCAAATTCTTAGAACCTCTTTCCCTTACTATGGCGGAAGTTACTGGAATATGAAACTGATCAATCCTAATCTCTTCGCATCTCAGATTCATGGAATCTAAAGGCCAGATTGGAGACTGTTTTAAATCCAAGTCCTTCATTTCAGAAACAACTTCAGTCTCAGAAAAACTTACCTGGAGTAACAAGGCTCTGGAGTTGGAAGCGACAGAGGCGTGTTCTGGTTCCCTTACTCGGGGAGGGCGTGTGGGGACGTGTGCACGTGCATGTGTGTGTAGCACTGCTGGGGACCGTGTGGGTGAGGTCCTGGCCTACGCGGCCCCGGAAGCCACACACCTGGGCGCTGCGGATGCCGGGACACTCTGTAGGGCGCGGGAGCTGATACAGCACGGAGTCTGGGCGGCCCAGCGTGGCTCCCGCAGCAGGGAACTCTCCCTCCCTACTCCAGGGCTACACCTGCTCCTCTCAGTCTCCACATCTACCATCCTACTACTGCTTATTAGTTATTAGTTATTAATAAGTTGAGGAAAGTCATCCGTCTTTACGGCTTCTGCTTTCCGGTTCATTCAGCCCATCGCTCACTCTCTCGCCTTCCTTAGCCTTCACATCCCCTAAGAGAGAGGGACACTGGTTCATTTAGTTTCTTTGGACAAATTTTTTTTTTTTTTGAGACAGAGTTTCACTTTGTTGCCCAGGCCAGAGTGAGTGCCGTGGCGTCAGCCTAGCTCACAGCAACCCCAAACTCCTGGGCTCAAGCAATGCTCCTACCTCAGCTTCCCAAGTAGCTGGGACTACAGGCATGTGTCACCATGCCCGGCTAATTTTTTCTGTATATTTTAAGCTGTCCAATTAACTTCTTTCTATTTTTGGTAGAGACAGGGGTCTCACTCTTGCTCAGGCTGGTCTTGAACTCCTGAGCTCCAACAATCCACCTACCTCAGCCTTCCAGAGCGCTAGGATTACAGGCGTGAGCTACCGTGCCCGGCCCATTTAGTTTCATAGTTACTTCTCTGGACACAATTCTTGTGCCCAGACATTCTTGAAGGCTGCCGCCCGGCCTGTAGGTCACCTGTGACCAGGGAGGCACAGCCGTCTGCCGCCTCAGACGGGACTGTGCAGGCGGCAGGCGCTAGCACGAGTTGGACCTCCTCCCCAAGCAGACTCTCCCGTCCTGTCGGTGACGACAGTGGGGCTTCAATTCAGGCTTTCACGCTCCTAGCGCAGTGCTCTTCCCGTCGGCCTAACCCGCCCGGGTTCTCAATGGTCCTGCGGCCCTGGTCCTCAGCAGCTTCCTGCCTCTTCCCTCCTCACGTCCTGCAGGGCAGCCCCTCGTTTTCCTTCTACCGCAGAGCACGGCCCTCTCTCAGCTCTTGGTATCATCGAGCGGGTCCTATTTAATGAATTATAATTGAGAACGGCTTACTCCATTTCCTCGGGTATTTACATTTTTAATGACGCCTTAAGCTGAACAAATGATCCTTTAATGTGACATTTCAAACTATGCTGGGAGGAAAGAAAGATGAGGGAGACAGTACATTTCCCAGGGCTACTCCGATCGTCATGTAGACAGCCACTGGTTCTGTGCACCAATCGATACATTTCTCGGCGTCTTTTTAAGTATGTCGCCTCCTCTGTTCCCACCGCCGTTATTTTCTAATTATGGTTGAGAAGTTAAGTCTTTTGGGCACCACACAAAATAGAGATGTTGAGACGAGACTTGCACAAACAAGCGTATTTTATGCTCTAAAAGAGGCTCAGAAGACACAAAGCATGGGAAAGTCCCTTTCTAACGAGTAAAAGCTTCTAATTTAAGAATTGTCAAACTTTCCACCACCCATCAATCACACTGTCCCACAAGGCAGAGCTAAGTTGTCATTCACAGACCGGGAGTTAGTTAGTGCTCATGTATTCCTGCATTTAATCGTACTACCCTACTGTCTAATATGGACTGGTGACATTCAAGAAATGCCAGTTGGGGGCCAGGCGTGGTGGTTCACACCTGTAATCCCAGCACTCTGGGAGGCCGAGGTGGAAGGATTGGTCAAGGTCAGGAGTTTGAAAACAGCCTGAGCAAGAGCGACACCCCATTTCTACTAAAAATAGAAAGAAATCAATTGGCCAACTAATATATATAGAAAAAATTAGCTGGGCATGCCTGTAGTCCCAGCTACTTGGGAAACTGAGGCAGGAGGATTGCTTCAGCCCAGGAGTTTGAGGTTGCTGTGAGCTAGGCTGACGCCACTGCACTCTAGCCTGGGCAACAGAGTGAGAGACTCTGTCTGAAAAAAAAAAACAAACAAAAAACCAAATGCCAGCTGGTATCCTATACTGAGTAAGAAGCAGCCATAGAGATATCCGTTGTAAATATTTTGATTTTTACATTCATTTTGCATTTACCTGAAATAAAATCCAGAATATGTATGTGCTTGTATATGAACGTGTATGTATTAATATTCTACTTAACTTCATGTTGTATTACAAAGATTTTTATGTAACTAAACATAAAAATATGGCGTTCTCAAAAGATATTATTCTGATAACTATGTAACAGTCCATCTCTTCAATATACAACATAATTTAATCATTCCCCTTCTGTTAATATTTGGGTTGTTTTAACGTTTTTACTATTACAATGATGCTATAACTATTCTTCTGCACAAATTCTTATTTGCATTGATTATTATTCCTTAGGATAGATTCCCAGATCTAGAAATACTGGGCCAAAGGGCATGAACATTTTTAAGGTGAAAAAAGGTATCTTTGACATCAGTTGTAAAGAAGCCACCATGACGAACAGGAACAATGCCAGGACCCACTTCCCAACTATGGAGAAAAATCTGTGAGTCAACACTCAGTTGTTTCCACCTTGGAAAGGGAACCTACTTTGAGAGGTGATTTCATTTTATCTCTTACTTTTTTAAAGTCAAATTTAAAAATTATTAAGAATACATAACAGCTGTACATATTGATGAGGTACATGTGATATTTTCACATAAACATATAATGTATATTGATCAAATTAAGGTCACTGGGGTATCCATCACCTCCAGAATTTGTCCTTTCTTTGTGCTAGGAACATCCCAATTCCACTCTTTTACTTATTTTGAAATATACGATAAATTATTGTTAACTATAGTCGCCGTACTGTGCTACTGGACACTAGATTTTATTCCTTCTATCTAACTGTATTATTGTTCCCATTGACCATTCCCTCTTTATCCCCCTCCTCATTATCTTTCTCAGCCTCTAGCAACCATCATTTCTATTCTCATCTCCATGAGTTCAATTTTTTTTAAGCTCCCCCATATTAGTGAAAACACGAGTCATTTGCCTTCCTGTTCCTGGATTATTTCACTTAACATAATGTCCTCCAGTTCTATCCATGTTGCTACAAATGACATGATTTCATTCTTTTTCATGGCTGCATAATATTCCATTGTGTCTATGTACCACATTTTCTTAATTTATTCGTCTGTTGATGGACGACACTTAGGTCGATTCCAAATCTTGGCTGTTGTGAATAGTGCTGCAATAAGCATGCATTCCTATTTTTTCCTGAAGAAATGTTTAACCGGAGTTTGGAGGACACATCAGTCCTTTAATATCATTGGCCACCTCTCACTGTCAACTGTACTGTCCTTTCATTGGACCTTAGAATAAAATCCAGAGACCTTTTTTTGTTGACAGCATCCACATGATCTAGCTGCTGCCTGCCCTTTCTGCCATGCTGTGACATTGTCCCCTTACTCTGCCTCCACACAAGTCTTTCTTTGGTCCCTTGAATGTGTGGAGCTCTCTAAAAGGCCTAAGCCCAGCCTTTTCCCTCTGTCTGGGATATTTTCCCCCACACTTTACACACGATCTAGCTCTTTTCCTTTCCTTTAGGATTCAGTTTTAAGTGCGGCTCCTCAGAGTTCTTGCCTGACGATGTTACCCAAAATTTTGTTGCTTGTATTAATAGAACTTAGCAAAATATGCAATTATTTTATGTATTTATATCTACTTGTTTTTTTTTTCTCTGCTTTCCAACAGGTTCCGGGAATACCATGTGAACTCTGGAATCCCAAGAGCCTGACTCAAGTGAGTAGCATGTAGTAGCAGACATGTGATAACTATTTAGCGTTACATTTCTGGTGAATTGTACCATTTTGGCGCTGGGAGATGAGATGAGATAAGACATTGTATCTAAAGCCAGGTGCCGAAAGGAAGGAGGTCGCCTATAGGCCCAAGGTTGAGATTGGTCTGTATTACCCAATGTGGTAGCCGAATAATTCCTCCCTGCAAAAAAGACGTCCACGTCCTAATCTATAGAACCTTTGAATGTCTCAGAATGAAATACTGAGGTTTCCTTGGCCAAACAGCCAGTCAACAAACCCACCCTAAGGTTGTGGTAGCTGTGATCTAGGTTTTAAGGCCAGAACTCCAATTTCTAAGTGCCTGGCTCAGCAGAAATCGGAACTGCAGTGGTCGCCGTATCCACTGAAGTCCGAATAAAACCAGGACAAGACCAGATGCTGAACTCACATCTGGGTGTAAACCTGAAACGGACCTCAGGATGTGCTTTCCGTCTGTGGGAGTTGGGTGTTAGAAGTGGCCTACTGTAATTGAAACGACACGGACTGGGGCAGCAGCCCTTGGTTTGAATCTGGGATTAGCCATTGACTAACTAGCTAGATACTCGGACAAGTCATCTAACCCAGCTGAGATGTGGTTTCCTCATCTGTGAAATGTTGGTAATAACACCTACCATGCAGGATAGGTGTAGAGATCAGAAATCCCATGTATAATGTACTGGGTACATAGTAGGTTTGCAAAATGGTGATCATTATTATTACTGGAGTCTCTTCCAGGGAACCCTTGGCCAGAGTCATGGATTAGGGACTAGGGTTCTGTCTTAGGTTAGTTCATCTGCTCCCCCATCCCAAAGCCCAAGGAGGGAATTGGATATCGGAAAGGGAGACACTCAGGGATGATGTCCACTACTCTGCCCCTTCTCCTACTCCCAGTCTCCAACTCTGTTTAATACAGTCTGGCAAACCATAAAATAGGAAATATGTGTATTTCCCTAGTGGGTAAAAAGCCTATGAAACTTAGGTGCAAAAATATTACTTTCACTCTCATTTTCTTCATCTCTAAAATAAGGGTGGGCTGGGCATGGAATCTTAGCACTATGGGAGGCCAAGGTGGATCACTCAAGGTCAGGAGTTCGAAACCAGCCTGAGCAATAGCGAGACCCCGTCCCTACTAAAAATAGAAACAAATCAATTGGCCAACTAAAAATATATAGAAAAAATTAGCCAGGCATGGTGGTGCACGCCTGTAGTCCCAGCTACTCGGGAGGCTGAGGCAGAAGGATCGTTTAAGCCCAGGAGTTTGAGGTTGCTGTGAGGTAGGCTGACAGACGCCACGGCACTCTAGCCCAGGTGACAGAGTGAGACTTTGTCTTAAAAAATAAAATAAAATAAAATAAAAGTAATGGTAATAATAGTACCTTTCACACAAAGTCATTGTAAAAATAAAAATGATAATGCATGTAAAATAAAGCACATAAAACACTTACCAAGGAACCTGGCACAGGTAAGTGCCCAGTAAATGTTAGCTGTTGCTGTGGCGGTAGCCATGGCGATTGTGAAGCTGCTGCTGCTAAGGACAGTGATGGGGATGGGGATGACTCTCTGAGAGGGGCATCCTGGTTCAACTTAAAGGACACATTGGCAATTGACAGCTCTCATCACACAGCCTTAAGACGGAACTCTTTTTTATTGGCTTGCGACAACACAAATTTACTCTCTTGCAGTTCTGGTGGTCAGAAATTCGAAATCAGTCTCCCTGGGCTGAAGTCGAGATGTTGGCCAGGCTGGATCCCCGTGGAGGCTCTAGGGGACAATCCATTTTCTTGCTTTTTTCAGCTTCTAAGAAGCCACCTGCATTCCTGGCTTTGTAGCACTTCCTCCATCTTCAAAGTGCATCACTCTAATCTCTGCTTCTGTCACCATATCACCTCCCTGTTCCTTTGGCCTTCCTTCCTCCCCTTTTATTAGAAAGGACCCACGCATGGCCCACTAGATAACCCAGAATAATCTCCTCGTCTCTAGACCCTTAGTTACGCCTGCAAAGTCTCTTTGCCATATAAGGTAACATTCGCAGGTTCTGGCGATTAAGACGTGGATATTATGGAGGGAGATTATTCGGCCTACCGCAACCATTCATGGTCTGTCCTCGCTCTCACGCTTCCTCGGGTAGATTCCAAAACCCACCTCTGTGCAGCCCTGCATCGCACACACCCTCGACAGCTTTGCACTTTGCCTTTCTGTTGTAAGCTCCACGCCCAGGTGCACCTCCTCTGTGCTTGCAAGTAGCTCGGCAAGTCTGCAGAGAAACACGATTGTGCCAGTGGATCCCATGAGACATTTTTTACCCCAGATCTCAAGTGGGCTCTGAGTGCTAAGGCAGGCCAGGGCATAGACAGGCAAGGGTGGGGTGGCTCAAAATGAGATAATCATCTCAAAATGATTCATGTTTGAGATAATTCATAAGGTCAAAGAAAGAAAGATAGGAAGGGTTCACTGCTGGTAAGACAATCCCATCTGGATTTAAAAAATGAATTCGCCCTGATTATGAAGCGTTTTTGTGTGAAGGTGTCTTGGTGGTGGAATTCTAAGGCAAAGTGATAGTTGTGCAGTTGACCCAAAACAAAGGGATCATTCCAGGTCTGCTAAGAAGCTTATGAGGGACGAGGGGGGGGGAAGTCTTGTAAACACAGGGCTTAACTTCTTGTGGAGGAGATAGAAAATGATAAGCTAAAGACATAAGGATAAGGCCAGAGCGGTGGCTGACACCTTTAATCCTAGCACTCTGGGAGGCTGAGGCGGGAAGATCGCTTGAGTTTATGAGTTCTAGATCAGCCTCAGCAAGACAGAGACCTTGTCTCTACTAAAAATAGAAAGAAATTAGTGGAGCAACTAAATATAGCAAACATTAGCCGGGCATGGTGTCACGTGCCTGTAGTCACAGCTACTTGGGAGGCTGAGGCAGGAGGATCGCTTGAGCCCATGAGTCTGAGGCTGATGCCATGGCACTCTAGTCGGTGCAACAGAGCAAGACACTATCTCAAAAAAATTAAAAAAAAAAAAAAAAGACATAAAGATCAATGACAGGTAGAAAAAAATGCTGACAAAGGCAAAACAGGGAAAAGGATGGAGAATGACAAGGATTGCTATTTTAGAAAGCGGGGGCAGAGAAGGATTCTCTGAAGCGGTGGCTGTGATCAGTGAAGGAGTAAGACATTGGAGGGCAGGGAGAAGAGCAAGTTCAAAACCCTCAAGACAGGACTTAATCGGCAAGTTTGAGGAACGGCATGGGAGACTGTGGCTGGAGCAGAGGGAGCACGGAAAAGAGTCCTGCATGAAGTCGGAGGAGTTTCCTGGGGTCACACTGTAACCACTCCAGGCTCTATGAACAAATTTCAATGATCCCTATGTGGTTTTTTATAATCCCCTCCCTTAACTATTTGACCTTTTGAGTTGTTTCTCAGAAATGGTGGATTTTCTGTAAGATAAAGGAGATGAGATTCTGAAGGCGCATGGGCAGACTTCCTGATGCCAAGACTCACCTGCCCCCAGTGCGTGGCGCCCCTTTGTTCTCATTTTTTTTTTTTTTTTTTTTCTGAGACACAGTCTCACTCAGTTACTCAGGCTGGAGTGCCGTGGCAACAGTCTCCTGGGCTCAAGCAATCCTACTGCCTCAGCCTCCCGAGTAGCTGGGACTACAGGCATGCGCCACCATGCCCGGCTAAATTTTTCTATATATTAGTTGGCCAATTAATTTCTTTCTATTTATAGTAGAGACGGGGTCTCCCTCTTGCTCAGGCTGGTTTCGAACTCCTGACCTCGAGCGATCCGCCCGCCTCAGCCTCCCAGAGTGCTGGGATTACAGGCGTGAGCCACTGCGCCTGGCTGAATATGAATTTTGATTCCTGTCTTGAAAGAAGAACAGGAGCTCACTGTACAGGTCAGGGAGTCAAGACTCTCCCAGAAGAGAGGAGAGGATACACAAAAGCACCAAGGCAAAAAAATTGCATGAATATAGTAGCTAAACTGCCATGAAATTTAGTGTGGTTGGCTCAAGCGATGTGCATGGGAAGGCAAGAATGGGATGAGGGGGCCGGGCCAGCCACGCACACAGCTGGGAGTCTGGGTGCTATCCTGTGGCCAGGGGAAGGTCTGGTAATTCATGCAATGTCCCTGCCTTCCTTTTTCCTGCTGCTGTGGCCTGTCCTTCTTCTATGCCAGTCAGCATGTGTGCTTGTCATTTCCACGAAATGCATCAGTGGAGACGGGAGCATTAATTTATTTGAGCAGACATGTGTCAACATCATCTGGAGAAAAGGCACCAGACCCACTGCAGACTCTCAATGTGATTAGCAGACCTCGGCCCCTCCCAGTTCAGTCCTGCCTGCTTCAGCCCACTCTGCTTCTCAGCTTGTCTTCTTGGCTGATTCCTACTTCCTCATCTCCCTAATACTTATCCCTCTTCACCCACCCCACACACAGACACACACACACACACACACACACACACACACACACACACACACACACACACACAGGCTTTGCCTTTCTTCTAGTCTCTCTCCTGTTGTCTTTTGTTTTTCTGAGACAGAGTCTCACTCTGTTTGTTGCATGGGCTAGAGTGCCGTGGCGTCAGTCTAGCTCACAGCAACCTCAAACTCCTGGGCTCAAGCAATCCTCCTGCCTCAGCCTCCTGAGTAGCTGGAACTATGGGTATGCGCCACCATGCCCGGCTGATTTTTTTCTCTATATATTTTTAGTTGGACAATTAATTTCTTTCTATTTTTTTTTTTAACTATTTGACCTTTTGAGTTGTTTCTCAGAAATGGTGGATTTTCTGTAAGATAAAGGAGATGAGATTCTGAAGGCGCATGGGCAGACTTCCTGATGCCAAGACTCACCTGCCCCCAGTGCATGCGCCCCTTTGTTCTATTTTTTTTTTTTTCTGAGACACAGTCTCACTCAGTTACTCGGGCTAGAGTGCCGTGGCATCAGCCTAGCTCATAGCAA